CTGGGCCAGCGTGGCGGGAGCAGTTCCCCGGAAGAGCCTAAAGGAGCAGGACCTGCAGGCAGCACAGCACAGCGGGCAGCAGAGGCTCCCTGCTGGACTCCAGGATCCCCAGCAAGAGGCTGCAGCCAGCAGGAGAGGTTCCCTGCCTGACTCCAGCAGAAACCTGTGCAGTGACCCAAGAGGCTCCCAGCTCCGCTTCCAGTTTCTTCAGCAAGAGGCAAGGCAGCTCAGCATGAGGCAGGGGCTTCCAGAAGGTCAGGTGCCCCAGCAGTGGTGGCTGTATTACAGAGTTTCTGCCTACCATGTAGGAGATCTGAGTTCAAGATCTGGCTGGGTCAAGTAGTGGTGAGTGAAGTGACAGGGGAGAAACTCTTGTTGGAGTGGAAGGGGTCACTGTGCTTTTCCCCTCCAGGTACCTATGCCCTATATCTCTTGTTATTTGGTGTTTTGTATATTGTGCATTATATATTTTGTCAATCAGTATTGTTTATTGTATTGTTTGCATTTTGTTAAGACTGTCTTTGGTTAAGTAGATGAATATGTCTATGAATGTGAATGCTTAACCTTTATTGAATCCCATCCCCTTGGGGTATTGTAGTGTCCCCTATACCCCCTGGTTTATATATGTTATGTTCCCACCATGGTTTCTCTCATTAAAAGGTGTATGTTTCAGTCCCCACTGGTGATCTGGCTCTGCTCAATAGGGAAGGAGCGTCCCTACACCTCCCACAGCACTCGTGCACCCGCTCTGATCCCTTCAACTGGAGAGGGGGTACATCTTGGAGTAACACTCGGGTTACAGCTATATAGCTATGGGTATTCTTTAAGGAAGTTTATATGGTTTATATGTTTTTAATGTGTTAATATCTAGGTCTAGGAAATATTATTAACTTGTCTGGGTTATATAAGTTGAGTCCCCATATGTGTTTATCGTGTTGTAACCTTAACTATCTTGTTCAATGTATTAATTATTATATATGTTGTAAGTTATATGGTTTATGTGAATTGTGGAATATTATATGTAGCAATATATGCTAAGCTTTATTGTAAATATTTCACGTTTTAACTTAAGTATTTGTTATAGTACTAAATTGTATATAGTTAAGCACTCGGTCTAGGCCTGGCTCTGTAGAGAGGAGAGGGAACTGATCTAGTAGTCGGCCCGCCATCAGCACTCTGCCCAGTGGTGACCCCCACCACTGTCACTGGAGGATGGGGCACACCCCCTTGGGTGTACCCAGGCTACACTTGTTTAGGGATTGAGCGTGGTGCTGGCCTTCAGGTGAACAGCAATAGTCACAAAGCTGGTAAAGCTTGTCTCACACACCAAAAACACAGGAGTCAGGCCAAAAGAAAAAGTCTGTGTTGTCACTGCAGGAAAAACTGGGCCTTTGGATTAAAGTAAGCATCCATTAGTTTACAAGGGGTGTAAAAACAATGCACTTTTCTTCGACTGTTATTCTTACTTTGCTGAAATAATTTTAGTAACATTTACTGGCACTAAGCAGGAGATTATGCACACCCAGTAACATGTTGCTAAACATGCTATATCTAATAATATCTAAAAATAGGCCTCAGTTTAGTAGGCATAAGTTACAGCAGTTTGCAATGACATTGCTTTAGAAATGTCACAGCAAATCCCCAATTACTTCAATCTACTGGATTGGTAGAAAACAGCATCAAAATAATAAAATGCCTACTAAGAAGGCTGCAGAACAGACTCTAACTCATACTTTACATTCCTAAATTACAGACTGATAAAAATGAAGCAGGAGTTTGTCACATGCTGGCATTTTGGTCAACAGCAAATTGAAAAATAAAAATGCCTGCACTTCCAAAGTTGCTGGGGTACTTAGATTTATAAAGAAACAGGTAAGGCAAAACAAAAAGAATGATTTGGGGCCTTGGGAGTTACCTCCACTTCAGGAAAATAATGCTGTATGTACCTACAAGTAGAAAATAATGGCTACAAAAGCCAGCAGGGTTGCAAGAAATAGCCCTCTGGTTTTATAAGTTTGTCACTACAAACACAAGCCACAGAGGAATATGATAGTACTTTCTCTGGAACCTAAAAAGGAAGGAGGTAAGGGATACTGCCTCATTCGTTTTGCTTAGGAAAGTCTGACAGGCAACAGCCACAGAAGATGGAAATGGCTGGATCCCAGGACATAGGCCCATCAGAACTAATGGAGTTATTTTGTTTGGTAACAGTGGTGCCAATGTCACGCAGGAGTCCACATGATAGCACTGGGCATCCTGATGGCTAGTTGAACATCGATAGTTTTAGTAAACAGATTGATGATAAATATTAGAAATTGCGTATTATGTTAATACTTTTAATTGTTGTGTCTGGTTAGGAAAAAAATCTGTAGGGAACTGTATCTTGATGAGGCTTATGCACAAGTAAGGTGGAACAAATTGTGTTGAGCAGAGGCTCTGGTTGATCATTTAGAACTAGACACTGAATGCAGCACACTGCTGTCATGCTCACTGGCTCCAAGCATTTTTTGGAGAACAGCCATGTTGCAGCATATATCTCGTTAAATTAAAATATGGAAGGTTCAGCTGAGGGAACCTATTTGCCATAATGGCTAAAAAGTTGTAATATGCTGTATGCAGAAGCCCAACCAATGTGCACTGATGTTCTAGAAACCTACACATGAGAAGCATCCTGAGGGCTTTAGACTTCTTGTAAAATGGGCATAAAGAAAATAGGGAAAATCCACTGAAAATTGCTAGAAGTGTGATTTTTTTTTGAAAACTTAGCCTGTTCTTTCTGTATCAATTTTTTTTCATCAAACATCAGAAAAAAATCAAATGGTGCTCAAAGATTAGATTCCATATTCTAGCTTTTGCCGTTTCAATGTGATTTTTACAACCTGTCATTATAGCTACCATGACTGGAGCTAAGCCAACAGTAGCAATAAAGGGACGTGTGTGTGGGAAGTGAAGTGCACAGAGCCTAGGAAAAAGGCACAGTTCATGGATAAGCAGAAGCAGAAGTGCAGAGAAGGAAATAAAGGAGAAAGGAGAGAAACAAGGAGAAACAAAACAAAAATGGAGTAACAAAGAAAAAAATGAGTAATTCTAACACACATTTTTTCTTCTTTTTACATACAGCATGTCCAAAAGGCAAAGTGAGTACTGCCTAATGTATCTATGTAGACTTAGTATTTCTATGCCTGTCTTTCAGGGTTTATTCGAAGTGGTAATGGATTTGTCTTGTCACAGCATTGCCATGCTCTAGCCTCTTACGTGCTCTTCTCTGAAAAGCCAACTGCACAGTAACTGCAGCCAAATAGAAACAACTGCATTATATGATTTTTAATTTCCAGATTTCTTCCGCTTCAGGATATCGCTAACTATCTTGACTGCAGTCTTCCTTTAAAACCGAGCTGTGAGAAAAATGGGCCAAGTTATTCTCTAAAAATCAGTTGTGGTAGATAAGAGAGAAGACAGGTATGTCATTATTAAAACTTCGTTGATTTTCTCTTTCCTAACAGCGTTTGATCTGTTTTTCCCTCCTTATTTTAACAAAGCATTGACAAGCAGGAGCACAGCACCATTCCTCTGCTCTTGCATGCCTTTTCTCACTCGCTGCCCAAACATGCAATCATAGAATCGGAGAAAGAAGTCAGGCCGGAAGATATGTCCCAAGGTTATTTATGCCAGTCCCCTGCCTGAGCACAGAATCATCCCTACGCTCAACGGAGGCGCAGTTCTTAATTTGTTACGAGCCCTAAAAGGATGGTACAGAAAGAAGGCTTAGCTTAGCACTTAGTTTCAGTTATGACTGTGTGCTATGGCAGAGAACGATAGCAGGCCTGCGCCGCCGCTGCAGCTAGAGGCTGCCTTTAGGCTGAAGCAGCTCTTTCAGATGTTTACCACAGAATCAATCGCAGAATCACAGAGCAGTGAGGCTGGAAAGGACCTCCCGAGGTCATCTGGTCCACAGCCGTGCCTGAGGCAAGATCATCCCTATCCAAAACATCCTCTATCCACAATCTAACCTCTTAGTAAAACGACTGTCAGTCCTGACACAACACAGGCCATAACACCCTAACCTCCCCCAGGAAAAGCAGCAGCCAACATCCTTCTATAAAAGGTGGTTAATACACTCAAGGGATGCCAGGAGGAGGGCCATGCGACATCCTACTGAGGACAGCAACCCTTGCACTCCAGGCCGCACCAATCTGACCATGGGGTAAAACTCCTTCCTGACCCCAAATACAGCGCTCAGCCCGACCACGAGCGAGAGGCAAGACCCTTCAGCCAGAAACCTCCGGCCTGAGAAGCCAGCAAGAGCCCGGTCACAATCTCTGGCCCCAAGCATCTCCTGCCGCTGCTTTGTTTCTGCAGCCTTCTCAACCCAGCACTTCAAGCTGTGCCAGTCAAGAGCCAGGGGGGAAAAGCACTGTTTTAAAATGGCTTGCGTTCTTTCTATGGCACCTCAGTAAAAAGTGACCGCAAAGGGAAAGGCGCTTGGAAAGGAGGAAGGTGGCAGAGGGAGGCCAGGCCCGAGGCCTCGTCAGCCATGCCTGTCTCGCTCCGAGGCTGGGTGCAGGGACACTGCAGCTGAAGCCACGGCAGGCAGTCAGGCAGCGGCCTGATTTAAATGTGGTGCCTGCTATCAGACCGACTGAGCAGCTGGAACAAAGCTCTCGGGCACAGGGAGGCGGAGGAGGACAGGCCAAGACTGGACTCTGTCTGACACGCTGTAAAGGGCTGTGGATGCAGCTGGGATGCACGAGTGTTCCTGGGCCCGGGGCTCCCGCGCATCACAGGAGCGCCGCGCCCCATCGCACAGGCCCTTGCCGCTCCCCCCACCCCACCCCGTGACTCAGGAGCTCCGTGGCCCCGCCCCTCGATGGCCTAGATTCTGGCAGGCAGGGAGGGGGAGGGGCGGCCTCGCCTCTGCCTGCCACCAATGGGCGGGCCGGAACCGCATCACGTGGTGCAGGAGGGGTCACGTGACGCACCGCCTCCATTTTGTGGCGCAGTAGCTCGGCGCGTCTGCCAGTCGGGAGCCAGACGTCGACGGGGAAGGATCGGGGGCTGCTTGGGACTCACTCGTAGCGCTCACCTCGCCCGTCCGGCCTCGGCCCGCACGCACACCGGCGCAGCCCAGGTTCGAGCGGGGGCCGGGCGAGCCCCGGGGGGGGCCCTGGATGCGGCGGGGGGGGC